CGGCGTTGGGGTGGGCGGCGGCTGGAGCGACGGATGGGCCCCGGCGATCGCCGCGGGTACCGAGTACCAGGGCAGGTGCAGCAGTGGCGGGACCCGCCGGTGTAGCCCGCCTGGAACGGCAGCAGGAGCGTCCCGCTCGGGCCCGACGCGTTCTGGATCGGCCAGTGCGTCGCCGGGTGGCTGTAGGCGGGGGGCGTAGCCGGCGGGGTGGTGTGCGGGCCGGCCAAGTACAGGGAGATGCCCTGGACGGCCGTCACGAGGTCCCGCAGGGTGCTGGTCATCTCCTCCGGCGTGAAGACGGAGGTTGTCGGCGGCGCGGAAGTGACGGGGGCCGGCGACGCGGAGGTGATCGGGGCCGGCGGCGTTGGGGACCCGGCAGTGGTCATCAGGGCGGTGGTGATGATGGGCAGCGGCAGCGTGGGTGTTGATGACGACATGATCGAACCCGAGTCTCTGGATACCAAATTGGTAGAACCAGGGGTCCTACCGGATCTGCTCCGGAGGCTGTAGGGGAAGGATGGAGTGGGACCGGGCGATGATAGGGCGCGCCGGCGGCTGGGCGCTGTCGCGTCGGAGGGAGATGGCGGCGGCGGCTAGGGTTAGAGGCGGCTAGGGTTCCGGCTCCTCTCGGAGCCGGGCAATAGGGATAATAATATTCTTATTGCTTAATTCCAAAAAGAGTCTTACAGCCTATATTTATAACCTAGATAACTTGCATAAGAATTAACCTAAGATAACTTGGATAAGAATTAACCTAAGATAACTTGTGGGCTAAGATTGCCCGCTGGGCCTAGCTAAACCGGCCATAACATATGTGATGTCTCCAGTTGCAATTTCAGTTTTTCTTAATACCATGTTGCTACAATTTTCGTCAGTCTCGGTTTTATTAGCTAATCATTCTGATCTAAAACACACCATTATCTGGTGTTTTCCAAAGGAGAACTTTATTTCAACTCTACACACAGTCCTGTCTACACGCCACCATGGGCAGTTTCACCTTGAGTTAGTTGTTTTATCTAGAGACTGATTGGTATCCAAACAAGGTCTAATTTCCTAGTCAAGTTCTTAGTTATATATGGAATTTGTTTTAGTATAACCCTATGAATTTTGTAGTCGTTCAACCTGCAGATTTCAGAAATACATTGGTGGAATACTTCCATTGGAGAGACTCAGTTGGAACTTGGAGTTGATATTAATTTTGTAAATGATTGAAATGATTAAATCCATGGAAGTGAGACACATCAGCTTTCGGAGGATGCATCAAATAGAAAAAAAAGGTATCATTTACATGCTTCTGTTTACACGTGACACTTGCTGAAGGAACTTAACATACCTTGTTTTAAGTTAATAGCATCATCAGTTCTCTGTTTTCACATTTTTAATATGACATGCTATTCACCAAATGAATGCTTGTGCCTAGATTCTTCTAGTCGTTTGCACACACCCAGTTAGTGCCACGATGGGCATGCCATACTCTTGTGCAGACATGACCAAAAAACCTTGCAGTAAGATACCATCTGTTTTGGATTCTTTATTATCTCCGAGGGATTTTTAGACACTGACAACTTCTTTAGCATATCTTATCCTTCATTTCTTCATTCAGCTTTTATGGTTTGTATCTCTCTCAACATTTTTTAACTAGCTCATGCTTGCCAGATTCTATTGATATTCTCATTTTTTAGCTTCTATCTATCACATATTTTTTCAGAAATTGTGGCGGGGGCTTTCATGATTTTGATGGATCATTCTACTATAGTAGGGTTCTTAAGTGGGATAAGATAATCAAATTCACTACTGTTGACACGTAGATATATACTTTAAGGATTATACTGATCAAACAGCTTGTTTGTTTCTTCACCGATGCCATCAATCCAAGCAGGAAATTTAAGCTTGACTTTGGAGAAGCATTCAATATTATCGAGCACGACACGATCATCAGAGTCATGGAGCATATGGGCTTTGATGCGAGGTGGATTGGATGGATTAAATCCGTCCTCTCCACTGGTACCTCCTCTGTCCTACTTAATGGTGCCCCGGGGAGGAAAATTTTCAAGCTATCATCAATAAGGCTTGTGCTTGTCACCATAACCTGCTTCAACTCCCCCTTCCAGGTACTAACAGCATCTTCCCTGTTTGGCAATACACAGATGATATGCTTTTAAGCATGCAAACATGTTCCCACTAACTGCTGTCTTAAAAGCCTCCTTGAATCCCTTGGACAGTCCACTGGTCTTTGAGTTAATTTCCAGAAAACTTGCCTTCTTCCCATCCATGTTTTGGAGGAAAAATGCAGCAGTTAGCTGGCCTCTATGGTTGCCGCATTGCCAATTTCCCCTTCACCTATCTCGGGCTTCCTCTTGGTCTGAGCAAACCTGGAATCAGGGACTTTGATCTGATTCATAGGATGCAGCAGCTCTTAACTTCTTGCCCCTCCTTGTCTTTTGGTGGGAGAATCACAGTGGTAGGAACTAGGGCCCTACCGGATCTAGGGCGTAGGTTGTACGGGAAGGAGGGGGAAGGGCGAGGGCTGGTGCGCGGCGGCCGGCGGCGTGGCGCCGTCCTTGCGACAGGAGCAGCGGCGGCGAAAGCAGGAGGCGGCTAGGGTTTAGGTCTCCCGGCTGCCTAAGGGAAGCCGAGCAAATATTGATTGCTTCTTGCTTGATTAGATTGATACTTCTCCTCTCCTTATATAGAGAGGTTTACTTGACTCCTAAGCAAACGATCCTAATACGATAAAATAATTGGCTAAGCCCCTAATTAAGATACTTGGGCCATAACCCACTGGGCTAAGCCCCTATGCCGGTCATAACACTTCTCCCCGCCTGCACAAACAGCTCGTCCTCGAGCTGTAAGGTGGGGAAGCGCTTGCTGAACTCCTCGAGGTGATCAACCAGCGTCAAGCACCTTCGCGACAGCTGGGGCGGCAAGGTCGGTGGCGACGGCGTCCTCCAGAATGTAGTCTGCAACCTCCAAGTAGAAGAGTCGCGGGCAGGCGTGGCCGGGCGTGTAGGGCTCGTCGCAGTTGAAGCACAACCCTTGGCGGCGACGCTCGAGT